AGTCAACTTTGAACATATTCTGAACAATTCAGAATTGTACTCACTAACCGTTTTAAAGTATTGCAAACGAAGGTGCATCTACTCATAACGGGCTTTGGGGAGGACTATAGTCCTCTGATGATTAAATCTTTCAGTTAACTTGTTTCAAAGAACTTGTGGATCTTTCTCAGTGAGATATTCAATTTTTAATCCATCGTGAAGATAGTGACGGAGGAAAATGAGTGCTTTTGCACGATCCTGTAAGGATTCATTGTTTCCTTCTTTTATTGTCTCTCTCAGACCATTTGAGATGAGATGGATATCAGCATCCAGTATTCATGACAGATAATTTTTACCAGATATGTCAAGTACACAATAAAAAAATACAATCAATTTCGAAAAATATGATTAATCATCACATGTTAATCAAATAGTCAATATCAATATGACTTTAAGTTACGTGTTTTCCTCTAGGGATAAACACTAATTTGAAATAATATGTTTTTCGAAACATATGCTACTTTTGGAGCACATTATATTTTGATATTATTTCTTCAAGTGCAATATGCCAATATTCTTCTGGAATATTGAGAGTTATAATTTATGCTCTTCAGAAGCAAATAATATTCTTATAATGTTGTGTTACTTCTGGAGCAACAACGAATAGATCTATGATTAATATTCTTCTGGAATATTAATTATAATGTTGTGCTACTTCAGGAGCAACAACAATTAAAAATAAATTTAATGTAATGTTTCATAATTAAACATAAAAAAAATGATAATACATCCAATTGCTCACCATTAATTAATATACAAACACATGTAAAATATTATTTTAAATTAATAACATGAGTTGAGTGAAACACAAAAAAAAAAATTGGTGACATGTAGAAACATATTCATATATTATGGCACGAAATTCTAATTATGTGCAATTAAAAGAATTGAATTAGTATTAACCAATTAAGGCATGAAATTTGCAGAAATCAATGGATTTGAGAGAAAAGATGAGTTGGGTACAGTTATTTGTTAATTGTATATTATATATATATGGAATCAACCAAAATAGAGATTTGGAATTGAAGCTTGCTTACAAAGAACATTGACCAATTAAACAAAAAAAAATTATAAGCATGTGTAGAACATAAATGACTAATCTAAATATAAGGGGGGGGTATAGGAACATGAATTAATGCATATCAATTGATTTAATATAAATATATCTCTATAAAAATGCACGTGGATTGATGTAAAGGAAAAAAATTAATTAATTCAAAAAGAGGTACAAAGAAAACATAATGATCGAGAAAGATGAGATCGCGTATTGCAGATTCAACATATGTATATGTAAAATTCACGTATTATCAAATTAATTTTGATATACGTGATAGATGATTATGAAAAAAATTACTACCTTCTAAGAATTTCGTGCTAATAACGTATTATAAAATGAAAGGAAAATAGAATAGAGAAAACTCAAAGAGAGTAGAGAAAACTCAATAAACTTTTTGTGTGTATTATTGAAAACCAAAGCCCTATATTTATAGGTAAGAATTAGGGATACGATGGTAATAATTTTTAGGGCTACAGGGGTACAAATGTCATTCACCAATAAACTTTAATGGACTTTCCATTTACAATACAAACCCTAATTTGATTTGAATTTCATTTTCTATCTCTTCGTGCCCGTGTCTTCTCTCTCAAAATCGCCGACGACGAAGGATGGAAGAGCTGTTTCTCTCTCTTCGTTTCCCATGTCTTCTCTCTCAAAACCGTCAGCGAGGGAGGATGGAGGAGCAGCTCAGGCCCACACTGCTGGAATAGAGGCCGTCGAGCATCACTGCAGCGTCGCCGACCGATGCTGCTGAGTACGGTAGCGTCGCAACGATGTTGTTCGTCGACGCTGCCATTCGCAGCAGCGTCGCGATCGCTACTGCAGCATCTGTGTGTGCGTGGGTGTGCAGCGATGGTGGCCTGAGGTGTGGTGGTTGTTGTAGTTGACATTTTTTTGGTTGTTGGATGCAGTGCAGGTGGCGACGGCGTGGTGGATAGTGATGGTGGTTTTGGATCTATTTTGCAGTGGTGTCGTCAAGATCTGGGATTTGCTACAGTGACGAAATCGATAGTGATCTGGGAGATGAAATCGGATTGAGTGGTTGCTGTGGCGGTGGCTGTGGTATGGTTTTGGTGATGTTTGGGTGGTGTGATTGTGATGTTGGCAGCGGTGGTGGGGATGTTGGCGGTGGTCGGGGTGGGATGAGATTGAATGCTTGTGACTAATTATTTGGTTGATTGTGATTAATAATTGAATATGTGACCTGAAAATTGTGATTGTGACCCCTGATTGTGACTCACAATTGATTAAGGCGTGATCAAAAAATTAATCGTGACCTCAAAATTGTGACTATGACTTTCGATTGTGACTAACTATTGATTAAATTGTAATCGAAAAATTAATTGTGACCAATTAATCCAATAATTTGTAATGAGTAAATGAATTGTAATTAATAAAAATTTTGAATCTGTGGGATATAAAATTGTTGAATTTATGATCAAAAAATATTTTGTGAGCTATAAAATTTTCGATTTGTGATCGAAAATTAAGTTACGACCAATAATTTGATAATTTGTGACTAAAAATTAATCTATGATTAATTTATTAGATAACTGTGACAAAAAATTGTGATCTAAATATATCTAATTAATAAAATATATATTTAACAAATTAATTTATAAATAAATTTTAAAAAATTTGATTTTTAAAACTTTAAACCATTTTTCTTAATTTTGAAAAGGGGTATACCCTCTTAAAAATGAATTTTTCCTTCTAGAAAAATGGGAAGACATGGGCTTATTTTTATCTATCACTAGGCGCAATGATGAAACAAGAATAGATTCATTCACATTCATTTGTAATAGAATAATAAGTATATTTTTTATTTATGTTTTTAAGTCTTTTTTTATTCAATTCAACATATTTGAAAGAGTGTATTTTGGAATAGTAGATTGATGGAGAACGTGTGGTTAAAAAATGAGGAAAAATTTTGAATTTACGTGTAATATTATTTTATTAAAAATGTGTGGTTGAGATAATGTCAAATTAATGTTTAAAAATATATTTTGTTTTGAAAGAATGTGGCTCAAATAGGGTTAATTTCATAAACGGTCACCGAACTATAGAGAAAATTACAAAACGGTCACTGAAATTTAAAACTTTAAGTGACGGTCACTTAAGTTTTGGGACGCTTTAAAAAATGGTCACTAAAATTTAAAAACTTGCAAAAACAATCACTGAAGTTTAAAAACTTTCAGAAATGGTCACTAAAGTTTAAAAAATTTCAGAAACGCTCACTGAAGTTTTTTTCCAATTTTTTGGGCTACTTTTACTACAACTTTTCTATCATTTTCGACCATCGATACCACCAAATTTTGATACCATTGAAAAGTCCACAATGTCCTCTTCCATTACTATCCAAAATCTCCCCGTAACTCCAAGGAATTCGACCCGAAAAATCGCCGCAAAAATCACCAAAAAAATCTGAAAATCTGCCAAAATCTTTAGATTTTTAGGCGATTTTTGCGACGATTTTCCTGTGAATTCCGACCACCAAACCGGCTAATTTTGGATGGTAATTGAAGAGGAGATTGTAGGCTTTTCAACGGTATCAAAATCCGGCAAAATTGATAATCGGAAGTTGCCGGAAAGTTACCGCAAAAGTCGTCCAAAAAACTGAAAAATTTGCCCAGATTTTCGCCTTTCCGGATAGCCAACTTTGTGGATTTATTCCGGCCGAATCCTTTGGAGTTTTGGGGGAGATTTTTTATGGTAATTGAAGAGGACATTGTAAGCTTTCGAACTGTATCAAAATCCGATGGTATTGGTGGCCGGAAGTTTCCGAAAAGTTGCCTCAAAGTAGCCCATAAAATCTGAAAAATCTGCCTAGATTCTCGCCTTTTCGGGTAGCCAACTTTGTGGGTTTATTCTGGCCGAATCCTTTGGAGTTTGGGGGATATTTTTGATGATAATTGAAGAGAGCATTGTAAGCTTTCCAACGGTATCAAAATCCAATGGCATTGGTGGTCCGAAGTTGTCGGAAAATTGCCTTAAAAGTAGCCTAAAAAATCAGCCCACATTTTCGCCTTTTTGGGTAGCCAAATTTGTGGCTTTATTCCGGCCAAATCCTTTGGAGTTTGAGGGATATTTTGGATGGCGATTTAAGAGGACATTGTGGGCTTTCCAACGGTATCAAAATCCGACAATTTTGGCAGTCGAAAGTCATCGAAAAATCGTCGCAAAATTGGCCAAAAAATCTGAAAATCTGGACAGATTTTTCGATTTTTTGGGCAAATTTTGCAACGATTTTCTAGTCAAATCCCTTGGAATTATGGGGAGATTTTGGGTGATAATTGAAGAGGACGTTGTAATCTTTTCAACGGTATCAAAATTTGATGGTGTCGATGATCGGAAGTGGCCGAAAAATTGCCACAAAAGTAGCCCAAAAAACTAAAATTTCAGTGATTATTTTTGAAAGTTTTTAAACTTCAATGACCATTTTTGAAAACTCCTAGAAACTTAAGTGACCGTTACTGAAGGTTTTAAATTTCAGTGACCATTTTGTAAATTTTGCCTAAGTTCAGTGACCATTTGTGAAATTAACCCGGCTCAAATATGACATTTTGAAAACTATAAGGGTGTGTTTGATTACATTTATTTTTCATGGAAAATATCAATTTTCCATCCAAATTCCTACTTGAAGTGTTTGATTGCTATCTTTTTCCATGGAAAACATTTTTCAACTTTTGAAAATGTCTAATTTTCCTTGTTTTTAAGGAAAATATTTTCTTTGGGTAGAGGTGATTTTTATTTTCCACAAATGATGAAAAATAATTCCTTTTCTAGGTTATATTTTTCATGTCAATCAAACAAACTCTAATAAAAAATTAAAAGAAAAAGAAAAAATGCCGTATAAGGTGAGCTGTCTATATTTGAAAATTATAATTTATTCGTTTCAACAGCAAGTCACAGCTGTTCCTTTTCATCTATTCGAATTTTCTTTCTTTGGCACCTCTTTTTTCTTCTTCTCTTCCGCTTTCTTCTTCGATCCTCATTCTCCTTCCAGATAATTCTATACCAATTTCTCTCGCAGATCTGATACATTTGAAGCAGCCTGCCTCTAATTTTCGTAAGTTTTGAGTTTGATGATCGTTATTTTTTTGTATACTCGCAATTGATCTGTCCAGATCTAATTTCTGTTACCTTTGTATATGATGTTTCAATTTCCTTTTATCGTTATTGTTAGATTGTCTGTTCTTTTATTATTATGATAGTTTCCTGTTTGAATTTCATTTTCTCGTTTGATTCATGATAATCAATTGGAAGGCCTTTAGTTACAATTCTATTCTCGCCTCAAAAAAGAATTTACTATTGCACAGTCGTATATTTGTTGGCTTATTTATTTACCTTTTGGCGGTGCAGAATAATTCATTGAGGAATTATTGTTACGGAATCATACGCAAAAATTGAAATGAAGAAGGCTTTTGATCAAACTGTTCGTGACATGTAAGTTTAATTGTATTCACGAAGATCTGTTTTCGAGCTTTTCAATTATTTTTATATAAATGCAACATCATTGTAGTCCATGGGACATGTTAGCTTTTGATATTGTACCATGGTGCTAAAAACTTGTCAAGGTGTATGCCTGCGAAAAGCATATGAGAACACTTTACAGTTTTTTGTTTGAATGGTTCTATTTACATCTTTGGCTTTGCTAATTTGTATAAAATTTCTGTAATCGGAGTTGATACCGAGCAAACCTTATCTGTCTTCACTTTCTTTTTGCAGTAAGAGAGAGGTGAATAAGAAAGTTCTTAAAGTCCCTTCAATAGAACAGAAGGTGATTTTCTTTTCCTTCCTCTCTTATGAATTTAGTACCTTTGAGCAAGTTGGATGTTCGGTTGGTAAAATAGAATCTCAAGTGCTGGGACTTAAGAATAGTTCCTTTTCTTTTGCTTTCTTAAACAGTTTCTAAGTGGTACTTGGTTTCCTTTTTAGGTTCTTGATGCAACTAGCAATGAGCCTTGGGGTCCTCATGGATCACTTCTTGCTGATATTGCACAGGCAACAAGAAACTAGTAAGCTTAAAATCTTTGAAAATGTTATTCTTAATTCGTCTGTTTCCATTTAGAAGGTGCTTATTTTCAATTTCCAGCAGTCATGAGTATCAGATGATAATGTCTGTAATCTGGAAGCGTATCAATGATACTGGAAAAAATTGGCGTCATGTTTACAAGGTTCGTATTTCTCCCTCATTATTCTATATCCTGGAGCAATTTGTGTGTTTTCTTATTGCAAAGTCTTGTTTAATTTAACATCCCTTAGATTTTTCCTCCCTGTGCAAACTGGAGGAAATTGTATTGTTCTTTTTTCTGTATTATTGTGCAGGCATCCTCCTTGAGGGATTTATTTTTTGTGTTGATTTTTAACCTTCCTCTCCTATGTTGAATGTGGCCTTCATGTTGCTGTTTTCTTGTCATATGAATATTCTCCTGTCCATCTCCAGGCTTTGACTGTTTTGGAATATTTGGTAGCTCATGGCTCAGAACGTGTCATAGATGAGATCCGGGAACATGCATACCAAATATCGGTTAGTTTAAATTTTACCTCTACGTTTCTTATAAGCTACATGCTAATGACATTCTGTGAAGTGCTAGACCGATTTGAAATTTTTTGATGGGCTGTGGTAACATATACAATTTCTTTTCTTGTGATAGACATTGTCCGATTTTCAATATATTGATTCAAGTGGGAAGGATCAGGGAAACAATGTCAGAAAGAAATCTCAGAGTCTTGTGGTTCTTGTAAATGACAAGGAAAGAATACAAGAAGTTCGTCAGAAGGCTGCTGCTAACAGGGACAAGTAAGTGTGCCTTGCATATATCTGCTGTTGTTTCAAAATTAGAAGTATCATTGTCACCGATTCTTTCCTCTTTTCGGATCCTCATATCAATCATTGAAGTTAAACAGTGTGTTTTGTCCATGCATGCTAGTTTATTTGACTTTCTGATATCTGAAAGCTCGAAATTTCGAGGTTATTATTTTCTTTATTTCTTTTAGCTGTTATTATACCAGCTAACTCAATAATATCTTCTTCTGAACTTAGTTTAAATTACATATCATGAAGTGCAGGAAGGATAACATTAAGTTTCTGTCATGCATTTGTGATTTATCTTCTTGCCTCACTTATAACTTCATCATTTAGTCGATTTGGATTCATTATTATGCATCTTCTATGGAACTTACGTGTCAAATTCTTTGACTAAGAATTTTTTTGATGCTGCTCTAGGAATACATACTATATATTCTGGTAGTGCATCTGGCATTTCATTGAAGGTGCGAATTGAATTGTGAATTGAAGTTTTATTTTGCCTATTTAATCATTTGAGGAAATTTGTTCCCTATTACTTTTTAGAGTTTCACCTTAAAGATTTTTTTGAACCACTTGATCTAGAACTTTAAAGTCCTAGAGAGGCCACACATATATCATTTAAAATGCATATTCAACATGCCCCTTTTGTGTAGGTAGGGTTCATTTTTCCTTCATAGGCTTATCACATGCATTGTTTCAATAAATAGGTCTTGGTGAGACCTCAAACAGAGTAGCTCCACTAATATGTTAAACTGCTAGATCTAAAAGCTTAGGCTTTTAGGAAGAGCATATGTGTACCATATAAATTGTGTCTTCAACAGATGGGAAATCTTCCACAACTAATTTGAGGATTTATTGGATGTAACTCATGTATTTTGGGGAATAAACAGCAGTGCTGTCAGATGCTGTTTGCGAAATTCTTGCAAAATTATGGGGGTTGTTCGGGAGAAGTTGGGCCAGATGTGTTTTGAAGCTACACTTTGCTGTAGTTTACCTTCTAAATCATTGTGTGGTCCCCAAATACATCTTTAACCATTTTTTGTTTCCTTTAGCTTCAAGTTTAGCATGCTTGGCGGAACTAAACAAACCCTAGATATTCTTTGTTCTTGCTTGTTGTTTAACTAAATGGATTTCTTGACTCAGTATAAATACTTTAATAGGTACCGCAACACATCAATAGGTAATATGTATCGGCCTGGTTCTTACTCAAGTGGAGGAGGATATGGTGACAGATATGATGAGGATCGTTATGGAAGCAGAGATGATGACCGTAATGGATATGGGAGAGAGAGAGAATGGGGCCAAAGAGATGATGATAGATATGGTAGGTATGGCGATTCATATGGCCGTGACGAGGACAGATACAGCAAAGAATATGAGGAGCGTTCTGGCCGAGGTGGCTATAGGGACGATGAATACCGAGGAAGGAGCCGAAGCATTGATAATTATCAATATGGGTCAAGAAGTAGAAGTGCTGATCGAGATAGAGACCGTGCTTATGAAGACGATGGCCAATATTCTTCAAGGTTTGCTAATTTTCCATATTCTTAAGTGAAATCTAACTTTATAGTGAATTTTATACCTCCCCTTTTTTCCTAAGAAAATGCATCTGGTTCTATTGACATTTATGGTAAGAGAAAATTTTTCTAGACAACAATTATATGCATGAAAGATTTTGCTTATGAAGTGTCAAAAATACTATTGCACAAAAGCTCACATTTTTGCTGGTGACTTGGATCAATTTGGGCAGAACATAATTATATCGGTACTGCTTTTTGTTGTATTAGGTACTCTGTAATTTCCCAAGCTGGTGGTTTTGTATTCATTTGTTTTTCCTAGTATCTATATGCGTCCTTGTGTTTTATTAGTCTTTTTTTATTACATATCTCAAGAAAATAATTTATTTTGATATGAGAGATTATTAAATCTTGCCATTTCCATTTGCAGAGGAAGTGGTGCCAAAGCTGATGATCATTCTCAAGATGGAAGGTAAATATTGTGGAACTTTTACAACTTATTTTTGATGGAAGGTATATAGGTAAACTGACTTATTCATTAATTTGCATTTTTTTTGGATTTGGTAATATGTCCAGGCCGTTTGATCGTAAATATTCTGAACAAAACCTTAATGCTCCTCCTAGTTATGAGGAGGCTGTTAATGGTGCACGCAGTCCCACTTATAGTGAAAGGTAACAAGTTTGTGCTATTGACCATTGCCTAGGTTGTGCATGAACTATTTTTGATTGGTCCTAACTTCCTATTGTCAAAAGGGATGGAGAACCTTCCCAAGCATCTGCACCTAAAGCATCCTCTCCTCCCTCAAGTGCTAGTCCAAGTAATGCAGCAGGTGCAGCTGCTTCATCACCAGCTCCAGCTCCAGCTCCAGCTCCAGCTCCAGATAATAAGAAAGTTGATGGCTTTGATGAGTTTGATCCACGTGGTTCAGGTAAAGGATTATTGACCAGGATTTTAATATTTTCTGTGACTTCATTGTAGTTGCAAGTATTTTTGCTTGATGGGGATCTTATATTTTATTTAAATCTTTGCTTGTATCTTGTCATATAAAAGGTGAAATATTTGGAATGCAGAATCTAAACAAGGTTATACTGTTTAAGTTATAATATTCTCTTTAGAATCTTTTGGTGCTTGCATAACTGCTGGTCAACATTAAGTTTTACTAATCTAGGTAAGCTGAGAGTTGTTTACGTGTTTACTATTGTTTATTAAGATGTTTCGAATGTTGTTCAAGTGTTTACCAATGTCCTTTGCTCCTCTATATAAAGGCCAAAGCGATGGGAAGCCCATATACACCACTTTGTTGACTATAGATGCAAACAAACAATTCTTACCCCCATGTGAATTTCTTCATTTCTGTTAGTATCCATTGCTACGAAGACTTCTCTCAGCAGATATGGCTGTGGTCGATTCTTGTTCTCTTCAACCTTGTATTTGGAATTGGTTTTGCCTAGATGCCTATCAAAGTTGGAGAAACCTTACTGCAAAATGTATCTCTTTGGCGCTTCCTATTGGTGGGATGGTTTGTTCGGAAAATATTTGATTCATGAATGCATCTGATTGTGTTGTATAATTCCTTCTTTTGCAAAATATATTCTATTACCAATAGCCACATTGAAATTATTTGACATGAATGTCCCTCTTGTAAGCGATATCATCATAGAAACAGGAGACTTAATGGATTACATGCATATCCATTTGCTAATTTCTATCAGTACGTAAACAATGAAAACCTCCCCCCCCCCTTCTCTCTCCCCCCTCTGTTTGAGAGAGAGCGAGCGAGCGAGCGAGCTAAATGGTTTCCCAGACGTCACATTAAATTTCTCAAAATGTCTCGGAATAAGGCCGAATTGGTACATGAAATATAAGGAATTATGGTAGTTACCATGTCTGTATCTGACATCTTACTCCAGTGATTTATTTTCAATATTCTATCTGGTGTATATGGTGGAATGCTCCTCGTCCAATTTTTTTCGATCTGAAGATTTGTCTAATTTGAAGTTAAACAGAGCTCAAGCTCAACTACATCAAATGTTGCTGCTCCAACTACAGCAGGTGGCGCGGAAATGGATTTACTTGACTCATTAGCTCTCGTGCCTGTTACACAGCAAACCACGGCCTCTGAAGCTGATGGCTCAGTAAATTCCAGCCATGGACCTGCATTTGTTGCCACATCATCACAGGTTATCTTTAGATGATAATTCCTTAAAGATCCAAGACCTGGTTTGATTTTAAAATTGTCATTTTTCTTACTGGCCCAGTAGTGGAGTGTTAATAAAAATATCAATTAAAACACACAGAATGCTTGAAATGTATCACTCACGTCTTAAACTTTGTTAATTGGTGATTTTTCCAAATTGATTATTTGATCATTTATTAATTGAGATATAGATGAAGTTGGGCATGGGTCAGGTTGAATTCCTTTTAGACGTGTCTGTTCTAAAAAATGTTTTCTACAATGACTTCCAAATTTATTTTGGCAAATAACACGTGGGGGAGTGTGCTTCTGCTTTGATGCTTATTGTTGTTGCATTTTTGAAGTCTTGAGTGTTGGAGACAAACTGAATGATTTATTTTCCTGAGATGATCAAGCCATATTTATGCAAAAATGATATTCAAATCAATAATATTGTAACCTATGAAGCACCGATATGGACACGTGCTGACACGACATGCGTCGACACATTGATTAAATTCTTTAAAATTCTTCATTTATATCATAAATTTTGGACCATTAGGTGACCGCTTCTTCCTCTTATCATTTTATGGATGTATTGTAAAACAAAATGCACTCGTGGCATTAAATATGTGCCTTTTTTTTGCAGCCGTTTGGCGATCCATTCGGGGATGGCCCTTTTATAGCTGTTACTTCTACAAATAGTGTACCAGCTCAACAACAGATCATTACCTCGGCAAGTTCCTTCCATTTGAGCTCTAGTCAAAGTTCTGACCCGCCACAGCCAATTCCTCTAGACACAACTACTGCGTTTGGGGGCACACAATCTCCCCAACAGAAGCTGTTGACACAGAACCAGGATTTTGATATATTAGCCGATATTCTCCCACCGTCTGGATCTTCACTTCCTGTCAATTCACAAGCTGGTTATCCAGTTCAAGCTAGCCAACCTGCATTGCAGTCGGGTTTTGCTTCACAACCAGGCCAGCCTTCGTTACAGACAACTTATCCACTTCAACCGGGACAGTCTGTTTCCATGGCCTCAACCTTCCCAGCTCAAGCTGGTCAAGCATCAGAGATAGGTTTTCCCCCTCAAAGTGGTCAACCCGCATCCCTTGCAGGCTTTCCTTCTCAAACAGGTTCTTCAGAGTCTGGTATTCAGACTCCTTTCATTGGCCAGTCTGCAGGATCAAATGCTAATTTCTATGGGGGTCAATTTTCAAGTGCACATGGTTCACAGTCAGTGTTGCCATCTTCAACTATGTCGACTGCTATAGTTCCGCAGCCAACAAAAGACAAGTTTGAGACAAAATCCACGGTTTGGGCCGATACTCTGAGCCGTGGATTAGTCAATTTAAATATCTCTGGGGGTGAGTTCTTGTAGTTTTGAATAGTCTCGTTTCATATAATATTCCCTTGACCACACTTTTGACATCATTGTTTTTTTCCATGTGCAGCAAAAACAAATCCATTGGCTGACATTGGAGTTGATTTTGATGCCATAAATCGCAAGGAGAGGAGGATGGAAAAACCTACAGCATCTACAGCAACATCAAATGTTACCATGGGTAAAGCCATGGGGTCAGGTTCTGGAATTGGCCGCGCTGGTGCTGGTGCTCTTAGGCCTCCTCATAACCCAATGATGGGTTCTGGGATGGGCATTGGTGGCATGACTGTCCGGCCTGGGATGGGCATTGGCATGGGAGGTTATGGTGTGAACCAGCAGCCCATGGGCATGGGTCAAGGAGTACATATGCAACAACAAACTGGTTTTCCTCCCGTTACCAGGCCTGGAGGATATAATTATAATCCTACGATGGGAACAGGTGATTTTAATCAACAACCATATGGTGGAGGCTACTGATGAGCTTGAGCGACAATAAATCCCAGGAAATAGGGAATCTTATAAATGCCAGTTATGTTAGAGATGAAAGGATTTTTGAAACCCTCTATACAAAGTTACGTTGAGACCTAAGTTTTGATTCAACACTCGCAATCTTCTGGTTTGCCTCATGTAGCATATGTGTATTCATTCCCTTAAGGATTTATTGACATTGCTTATACTTGTTTGTTTTGGATAGAAATGAGTTGTTTAGGTGCTTCCTGGTATCGTCATCCATATGCATATATGTACTCTCTCTTTTTTTGTGGCATTGCCCATTATAGATACACCTCCCTGACGATCAATAAATTTAGTTTGATTCTTCCTCTTCTTCGTCTTTTATTCTATTATTGTTATTGTTGCTTGATTCTTTCGTTTGGAGTAATGGTTTTGGTGATTCATGGACATCTTATCTAGGTGTTTGATGAGTTAAGCCAAATTATCAGTTTTTGTTTTCTAGCGGTGTCTCGAATTTAATGGAGGGGACTTGATGTGTATTGGGCTCTAAAAGAGTTTTCTTTCTATTGATGACTCCAATATTAATATGATTATAAAGACTTTTGCAAGCGCATTCAAATATGTTGTAAATAAATATCAATGAACATCAAACTTTGTTATCGTATCAAGGATACATTATACGTCATTAATAAATGTTTATGAACATCAAATTTCTCTTAGGGTCTGTTTTATAGCATTAAATTTCATGAAAAATGTCAAAATTCGAGGAATTTATTTTCTACTTTAGCTTTTTGATACGAAAGTGGAAATGAAGTTTGAATTTCAAAGTATAAATGCTTAAAGTATATTTTTGATCAATTGAGTGGAAATCGAATTCCTATCGCTTTGGTAGTTTATCTTTTCCAACTTTCATGGAATAATTTGCCTTTTCCACTTTTGCAATCAAACAAACCCTTATTGTTGTCGTTGGATTGGTTGGTATTAGCCCCCTAAAAAAAGTTACATTTTAACGATGACTCAAATACAATATGACAAGTTAAGAGATTATATTACTACAACACTTAAATACATAAGTTAAAAGTGTCGATGACGCCCCCAGGGCACATCTCCAAGTAGTAAAAGGGGAAGGTGGAAAAATTCAACTTTGCTTGAGGCTATTGCGTCAAGGATTCGAATCCTGAAATATGGATTTGGCTCTTGGATAAGTGCAAGTGTACAAACAGCCTTCCACCCTGTACCCTTAGAGACATAACCTGTCATTTACCTCCCTCACGATGCTCCAGGATAGGGGTGGTGAGGGACCCTTAAGGTTAGGGTTTAACCTTTTAAAAGTGTCGATGACTATGAAATTATTTCCACTCTTGTTACCTAAAGAGGCTTGGGTGGTGTAAAGTGCCAAACAAGGTTTTCTCAATATTAAGATCAAGGAAATTTATGTAATAGATTATTAAGCATATAATGTTAACGTTGTCTATATTTCACAAAATCAAATGCCTAGGTAAGAGTATCTTTAAATACATAATCTTACAGTCTTTTTTCAATGTTAAATGGGACAAAGCTCTTAAAATGTCTCTTGGATTCAATACCACTTCTTATTTTTTAACATGAGTCATATTAAGTCAAAGACGAGCACAGCTCCACTTACGAGAAATTTTTGTTCTTTTATAAGGCTTGACATGGTCGAGAAACTTCCATCAAACATTGAAGTGGTATCAAGCCCGACAAAGCCATGTTGTTGCAATTTTCTGATCGTCCCTAGTCATATCGACTTCGTACTATTCTCGTAATGGGTCGTAAATATGAATCAAACATATAGCCCGTTAGGTCCCCGGCATAACCCGTGCCACTATTGGAGAAAAGATTCTCCTCAGCCAGTCACCCCCATCCACTGCCGTCTGTCAACCTCCACCCTGAACCCTTCCCTAAACAATGAGCAAAAGAGTTTTCAGTATTGCTCTTTTTTCTCCAACTCTACCCTTTTACTCTTTCAAATTCTTCACCAGATTCCTCAGCACTGACAACAGTCTACAAGGATTAGTAGACCCAGACCTCAATTTCCCTGGAAACGACGACTCTTTTTCACCCCAAAATTCTCAGGCCCAATCAGTGTCAGACCAAGACTTCACATTTATCAGGGACTCTTTGTCTGACTCTAAAGGTGAAAACTTTGGGTCCGGTAAGTGCTCAAATGATGCTTTTACAATCATAAATGCTATAAGGACTAATAATGATGGGGTCGGAGACAAATCCCAGAAATTTCTTAGGCTATTCAGAGAGAAACTGAATGAGAGCTTAGTTGTTGATGTGCTAAAGAATGTACAAAGTGCTGAATTAGGTGTCAAGTTCTTCATGTGGGTAGGTAGGCAAATAGGATATACTCATAGTTTAACTGTTTATAATACTGTATTAGATTTATTGGGCTGCGATAAATATGACAGAATACCGAATCATTTTTTAGAAGAAATTAGGGATGATGATAGAGAAGTGCTTGGGAGATTGCTTAATGTGCTGATTCAGAAGTGTTGTAGAAATGGGATGTGGAATTTGGCTTTGGAGGAGTTAGGGAGGCTCAAGGATTTTGGGTATAAGCCTTCCAGGGCCACATACAATGCGTTGATCTTTGTGTTTTTGGAAGCAGGCAGGTTGGACACAGCTTTTTTACTTCACAGGGAGATGCTGCATTTGGGTTTTAAGATGGACATGCATTTGTTGGGTTGTTTTGTGCATTCTTTATGTAAAATGGGTAAATGGAAAGATGCTCTTGAGTTAATTGACAAGGAAGATGCTGTCCCCGATACAGTGCTTTATACAAAAATGATCTCTGGTTTGTGTGAAGCATCGCTTTTTGAAGAGGCTATGGACTTTTTGAATAGGATGCGATCAAGCTCATGTGTTCCTAATGTTGTGACATATAAAATTTTGCTATGTGGGTGCCTAAATAAGGGGAAATTGGGTAGGTGTAAAAGGATTCTTAGTATGATGATTACAGAAGGTTGTTACCCAAGTCCTAAAATATTTAATTCTCTTGTTCATGCCTATTGCAAGTTTGGTGACTATGCTTATGCCTATAAATTGCTCAAGAAAATGGCGGATTGTGGTTACCAGCCTGGTTATGTTGTTTATAATATACTGATTGGAAGTATATGTTGCAATGAGGAATTGCCAAGTCCAGGCGTGTTAGAATTGGCAGAAAAAGCATATAGTGAAATGCTTGATGCAGGAATAGTATTGAACAAAGTCAATGTCAGCAATTTCGCGCGATGCCTTTGTAGTGTTGGAAAGTATGAGAAAACATATAATGTGATTCATGAAATGATGAGCAAGGGATTCATACCTGAAACTAGCACATACAACAAAGTCATTGGTTTTCTTTGTGACTCTTCCAAAGTAGACAAGGCATTCCTGTTGTTCAGAGAAATGAGAAGGAATGATATTGTTCCTAATGTCTACACATACACAATTTTGATTGATTGTTTCTGTAAAGCTGGCCTTATTCAACAGGCTCGCTGCTGGTTGAGTGAAATGTTAAGGGATGGATGTACTCCTAATGTGGTGACATATACTTCACTTATACATGCTTACCTGAAAGCAAGGAAAATGTCAGATGCAAATGAGCTATTTGACTTGATGTTATCAAAAGGATGCACCCCGAATGTTGTCACGTATACTGCTTTGATTGATGGGTACTGCAAAGCTGGAGATGTAGAAAGGGCTTACCAGATTTATTCAAGAATGAGGGGAAATGGTAATTCTCAAGAGGTAGATGTTTACTTTAGAATTTCTGATGATAGCAGTAAGGAACCGAATATAGTTACATATGGTGCTTTGGTTGATGGTTTATGCAAAGCACACAGGGTGAAAGAGGCCCGTAGTCTTTTGGATGCAATGGCGGAAGAAGGCTGTGAACCGAATCATATTGTTTATGATGCTCTTATTGATGGCTTTTGCAAGGTTGGTAAGCTGGAAGAAGCACAGGAAGTATTTGCTAAGATGTCAGAACGTGGATACAGTCCAAATGTTTATACTTACGGCTCTCTAATTGACAGGTTGTTTAAAGATAAACGTCTGGATCTTGCTTTGAAAGTATTGTCTAAAATGCTTGAAAGTTCTTTTGCTCCCAATGTTATTATCTATACGGAGATGATTGATGGACTTTGTAAAGTTGGGAAAACAGGAGAAGCTTACAAACTGATGCTGATGATGGAGGAAAAAGGTTGTAAGCCAAATGTTGTAACTTATACTGCCATGATAGATGGGTTTGGAAAAGATGGTAGAGTAGATAAGAGCCTTGAACTCTTGAAGGAGATGAGCACCAAAGGTTGTGCCCCAAACTATATAACATATAGGGTCTTGATAAATCATTGTTGTGCTGTTGGACTCTTGGATGAGGCTTACCAACTTCTAGAGGAGATGAAACAGACATATTGGCCAAGACACTTGGCAAACTATCACAAGGTCATTGAAGGCTTCAGCAAGGAGTTCATAACGAGTCTCGGACTAGTTGATGAAATGGGACAGAATGATTCTGCTCCCCTTGTTCCAGTATACAAAGTTCTGATTAATAGCTTTCAGAAAGCTGGAAGACTCGAAATGGCTGTAGAGCTGCATAAAGATTTTTCCGCTGTGCCATTCATTTCGCCTACTCACATAAATACATATTATTCTTTGATTGAGAGCCTCTCCATTTCGCAAAAAGTTGACAAGGCATTTGAGCTGTACGCTGACATGATAGAAAAAGGAGGAACTCCTGAGTTGAGTGTCATTGTTAACCTCATAAAAGGGCTTATCAAGGTTAACAGATGGGAAGATGCACTTCTACTTTCAGAAAGCTTATGTTACATGGTTCGTAGTTATATCCTCTTACTTTGTCTCATTTTGAAGTTTAAATCATTGATTCATACTGTGTTCAGTTTTCATAGGTTGTTCTTGTGAGTTCTTTTAATATATTTTAGTCCCAAATACCTATATTATAAGAAACAAAATCACAAACCAAAAGAAAATGAATAAAAATCATTAAGAGAAAAAAAATTGCCATGCCATAAAATCAACTGAATGAAGCTTTACCATCTTAACCATATTGTGAATTGTACATGATTCTGAAATATTGGGTTCTGAAATTTCTTTTTTCTTTCATATTTCGACTTACTTTTCGAAACTTCTCATTGGCTACAATCCTTTTATAGCAATATTCTTTCAAGGAAACTGAGTTGCTGCATAGAAGCAAGCTTCTAGGCATGTTCTAGTTAGATATGACTTACTCTTACATATCTGCGCTCATTAATGTGGCATCTGATGCTGATGTATTGATTTGCTTATTATTTCTCTCAAATGAACTTCTACTGCTGAGTATCAATTGCAAAAAGACAACCTTGTCTTGGCTGTTTTAGTATAAGTTTTCATTTTCTTTAATAACCTGAGCAAGAACCACAACTCAAAGTTCATTGAAGTCGCATGTTAAACATGGGGAATGATAGGCTTTGTCGCATTTTGTAAATTAACTGTTGGATGGCATGCCCATATATCATGCCCACTAGATTTTATAAATATAACCCTTTCCCACATACCACTATCAACTGAAGATTAATTTTTATTGCTTCTATTTATATGGACGTTAATTGATTGAAGAATTTTTATCTATTTATTTTATATTTTGATGGTCTTACATCACTTTCTGTTCCCTCAAAGCTAAAAGTCCTAATAAAACAAATTGAAATACAATTCCAGGTCTCTAATACTTACTAAGTTCTCTCCATTATACTTACACACATGTAGGCAGGATTTCCCATCAGAAACCTAACAAAAACTTGCACAATTTTTATGGGCTCCATGAGACTTGAACCCAGGATGGCAAGACATTTGCTTGCACAGATACTATGTTAAAGCACTTGACATAAAAGCTTAAGGTAGAGTCACATATATATCATTTAAAATCTCAATCACAAAATTCACCATTCAGTAAGTTATATTATTTCATTTTTTACCTTTAATTTTTGCTTGTCCACTTATTTTTGTCAACTTTATTCTTAAACTGCACAGAATATACGATGGTTGTCAAATGAACAAACACTGAAGGGCAAGTAGACTAATATCCTTAGTCTCGTACCTCATGTGCACTCCTCATTACACATCTGTATATCCATCAAATTTGTCTCAAGTTGGACACTCGAACTGTGATGAAGCCATGTGCACGGAATATCTTACGTACGAATTCCTGATACTATCTTGCTGTGCTGTCAGTCCTATGTGAAGGGAAGGGACTTTATAGCAATCTTATTTTCAAACGCAAATATGCATTTACTAACTTGCAGAGAAATTCTTGTGATCGCAATTTTGAAGTGCTTGATTACCATAAATCCCAACATGGAAAAAAGGTAAATTGGAATTATTTTTGTTTGTTTTGTTCAAATTGGGTGGTGAATTGCTGGATTTTAGTTTCTAGTGTAACTGATTGTATTAACATGATCCAGTTGCAGCTGCATGAATTTGAAACTGCTGGTTCTTGGCCAGAAATTCCTTTGCCTAACATCACCAGTGGACAGAATCTGAAGATAACATATACGAAGATGATGATGCAACAGTACGAAGAAGATGACAACAAGGAAGCAGCTGTTATTTGGGAAATAAAACAGTGTTGCAAGCATTGGCGGACCTGCAGTTGGTCCCGGTGGGACACGTGACCCACCAATTAAAAAGAATTTAAAAAAAAAAAAAATAGAAAATGATAAAAATGGAGTAATCTAAAAAACCCTTCCACTTTCCAATTTACGGGCTCCAAACCATCCCACATTCCTGTCCCCAGATTCCACTACCAAATTGAAATTCAATGCGAGAAACCATCTCACTTCCCACTCCCAATTCAATCCCATCTCTGGGCTCCTCGGCTCCCAATTCCCAACGTTGAAGCTAGGCCATTTAATCCACCTTTGTCGTCGCTGCCGATCGTTCGACTCCCTTTGCCAGCGGTTCTACCACCACAAACGGCTGAAGACAGCGATGCACTTAGAATTGTAAGGAGATTATTCCTGTTATGTGCAGCAATTTTATATATGGAATTTGGGATTCAATATTTCAATTTCTTATTCATGTAATTGTAACCCTTTTTTTTGTGTGCACTGTGCAGCTTCTTCATTACAGTATTTTCATTCTTGAAAGCTAAGGTTCTTGCACTAGGAGAGGAAGAGAGGAGAGAGAAATTAAAGGTTCTACTTACTTTCCCTGTTTCCCGTTTCTTCAGTTTCCATACATTTATTCTTGTTTTTAAGATTTGTGTTTAAGTTCTTAGATGGTTATGGAGGGGAAGGTCTATATGTTGAGAGTTTCTTATACATGCCCATTTCAAGAAATTCCGTTTCCAAAACAAAAAATAACTTACCAGCATTATTTTGGTGAAAAAAAGAAGGAAAAATGGAAGCCAATTTGTTCTTTGAGACTTTGATTTGTTCAAGAAAGCTTTTTCTGTTTGTAAATTATAATCCAACTTCCATGGAGAGGTTTAGGTGGCAGAATTATTGAAAAAAATTGGTCAATTTCAAGCTCTAATTGGAAATTGGAATTATGGCTGCGTTTGGGACCTTGGGTGTCTTGTTTACTACTAATTTATGAAAATTATTCACGTCTCCTTTGAATTGTGTTGATAATGAATGTTGATACACAGATAATATAAATTATGGAATATTTTTGTACTGTCTTCTGCTTTTTGTTAAATCCTTTTTTTCTATTAGTTGAAATATATATGTAGTGTTGATTGCTCGCATTGCCCCACCATTCTATTGTATTGCTACTTGCTTCCAGTCCTCCATCGTCGTCCGCCAGAGTATTAAGATTAGTATAGCGTTCTGATTTTAATTCGCGTCCGATGGCTCTGGTCAATTTATGATTTTAGCGAATTTGTGATTTGTGAATATGTGATTTGTAAATTCGTGATTGGATAATTAATTCGTGATTTGTGTTTGTCAATTGTGATTCGTGAGATTTAGTTGTGGACTGCATCAACAATTCAAAATAGATACAACATTATTATTGAGATTGTAGTTTATGAAACCGTTAAAAGTAGTAACTTAAACCATTATTCATTATTGATAGACTGATTACTTTTTCACTTGAATTGATTCTTCTCATTGTATGTTTGTATCAGTTATGGAAAAGAATTTTAAACGTAAATCTGCGTTTTCTTGCGATGAGCAAAATGTTAATGGAAGAAATGTTCAAGATAAAAGGGATGGACATGATGCTGAAGATAAAAAGGATGACAAACTTGGGGATGAAATGAATGAAATTGGTGGAACTAATATTGGAGATGTCCCAATTGAAACAATTATCAGGAATGTTGGAGATGAAAGGCTTGAATTTGATATTGCACAGCTTCCTTCAGATCCTGGATTGAGGGTTCCAATACAAAATTATGATGCTAATGTTTGAGATGTAATTCGAAGAGCATAAGTGCAAAGGGGTCCATGTCAGCCTCGCAATCATGAATTTCCACCTAAAAAATGGCTAAAAAAGATAGGTGATTTTGTGTTTCATGGTATAACGAGTATCCTAGTTGGTTGGAATACAGTATAGGAAAAAAAGCTGTATTTTGCTTAAACTGCTATCTTTTTAGCTCAAGTTGTGGTTCATTTGTTAATAGTGGGTTCTCAAATCGGAAAAGAAAGGAAATTATTAGAAAACATGTTGGGGCACCCCAAATAGTGTACACTATCAGGCTCGGGTCGGGTATGAATCATTCAAAAATCAAGGACAAAGCATTCAATTGTGTTTCTTTAAGCAATTACATCAAGTTCGAACAGAGTATTGAATTCATTTGAATGCATCAATTGGTTGTGTTCGGTTTATTCTACGACAATGGATGGACATGGTGAATTTGAAGATTCAAACAATCGAGGAAACTTTCTTAAACTAATACATTGGTTGTGATATCATAATACTGAGATTAAGGTTGTTGCTTTGATGAATGCACTTGAAAATCACAAATTGACATCACCACAAGTTCAGAAAGATATTGTGAGTGCTATCGCTTCTGCAACTCTTAATGTGATTTTCAAAGATATGGGAGATGACTTGTTTTCTATTGTAGTTGATGAATTTCGAGACAATTCAATGAAGAATAAATGTCAATTATCATTCGTTATGTATAGAATGGGCGTGTATTGAAATATTTTATTGGTGTCACGCATGTTTGAAGTACCACAGCTAATGTACTTAAGATTGCAATTTATCAATTATTCTCCATTCATAACTTAAGTACATCTAATATTAGAGGTTAAGGATATGATGGAGTGAGTAATATGCGAGGTGGGAGATTATTCCTGTTATGTGCAGCAATTTTATATATGGAATTTGGGATTCAATATTTCAATTTCTTATTCATGTAATTGTAACCCTTTTTTTTGTGTGCACTGTGCAGCTTCTTCATTACAGTATTTTCATTCTTGAAAGCTAAGGTTCTTGCACTAGGAGAGGAAGAGAGGAGAGAGAAATTAAAGGTTCTACTTACTTTCCCTGTTTCCCGTTTCTTCAGTTTCCATACATTTATTCTTGTTTTTAAGATTTGTGTTTAAGTTCTTAGATGGTTATGGAGGGGAAGGTCTATATGTTGAGAGTTTCTTATACATGCCCATTTCAAGAAATTCCGTTTCCAAAACAAAAAATAACTTACCAGCATTATTTTGGTGAAAAAAAGAAGGAAAAATGGAAGCCAATTTGTTCTTTGAGACTTTGATTTGTTCAAGAAAGCTTTTTCTGTTTGTAAATTATAATCCAACTTCCATGGAGAGGTTTAGGTGGCAGAATTATTGAAAAAAATTGGTCAATTTCAAGCTCTAATTGGAAATTGGAATTATGGCTGCGTTTGGGACCTTGGGTGTCTTGTTTACTACTAATTTATGAAAATTATTCACGTCTCCTTTGAATTGTGTTGATAATGAATGTTGATACACAGATAATATAAATTATGGAATATTTTTGTACTGTCTTCTGCTTTTTGTTAAATCCTTTTTTTCTATTAGTTGAAATATATATGTAGTGTTGATTGCTCGCATTGCCCCACCATTCTATTGTATTGCTACTTGCTTCCAGTCCTCCATCGTCGTCCGCCAGAGTATTAAGATTAGTATAGCGTTCTGATTTTAATTCGCGTCCGATGGCTCTGGTCAATTTATGATTTTAGCGAATTTGTGATTTGTGAATATGTGATTTGTAAATTCGTGATTGGATAATTAATTCGTGATTTGTGTTTGTCAATTGTGATTCGTGAGATTTAGTTGTGGACTGCATCAACAATTCAAAATAGATACAACATTATTATTGAGATTGTAGTTTATGAAACCGTTAAAAGTAGTAACTTAAACCATTATTCATTATTGATAGACTGATTACTTTTTCACTTGAATTGATTCTTCTCATTGTATGTTTGTATCAGTTATGGAAAAGAATTTTAAACGTAAATCTGCGTTTTCTTGCGATGAGCAAAATGTTAATGGAAGAAATGTTCAAGATAAAAGGGATGGACATGATGCTGAAGATAAAAAGGATGACAAACTTGGGGATGAAATGAATGAAATTGGTGGAACTAATATTGGAGATGTCCCAATTGAAACAATTATCAGGAATGTTGGAGATGAAAGGCTTGAATTTGATATTGCACAGCTTCCTTCAGATCCTGGATTGAGGGTTCCAATACAAAATTATGATGCTAATGTTTGAAATGTAATTCGAAGAGCATATGTGCAAAGGGGTCCATGTCAGCCTCGCAATCATGAATTTCCACCTAAAAAATGGCTAAAAAAGATAGGTGATTTTGTGTTTCATGGTATAACGAGTATCCTAGTTGGTTGGAATACAGTATAGGAAAAAAAGCTGTATTTTGCTTAAACTGCTATCTTTTTAGCTCAAGTTGTGGTTCATTTGTTAATAGTGGGTTCTCAAATCGGAAAAGAAAGGAAATTATTAGAAAACATGTTGGGGCACCCCAAATAGTGTACACTATCAGGCTCGGGTCGGGTATGAATCATTCAAAAATCAAGGACAAAGCATTCAATTGTGTTTCTTTAAGCAATCACATCAAGTTCGAATAGAGTATTGAATTCATTTGAATGCATCAATTGGTTGTGTTCGGTTTCTTCTACGACAATGGATGGACTTTCATGGACATGGTGAATTTGAAGATTCAAACAATCGAGGAAACTTTCTTAAACTAATACATTGGTTGTGATATCATAATACTGAGATTAAGGTTGCTGCTTTGATGAATGCACTTGAAAATCACAAATTGACATCACCACAAGTTCAGAAAGATATTGTGAGTGCTATCGCTTCTGCAACTCTTAATGTGATTTTCAAAGATATGGGAGATGACTTGTTTTCTATTGTAGTTGATGAATTTCGAGACAATTCAATGAAGAATAAATGTCAATTATCATTCGTTATGTATAGAATGGGCGTGTATTGAAATATTTTATTGGTGTCACGCATGTTTGAAGTACCACAGCTAATGTACTTAAGATTGCAATTTATCAATTATTCTCCACGCATAACTTAAGTACATCTAATATTAGAGGTTAAGGATATGATGGAGTGAGTAATATGCGAGGTGAGTATAATGGTCTCAAATCACTTATTTTGAAAGAAAACTCAAGCGTTTACTACATTCATTGATTTGCTCATCAACTTCAACTAGCACTTGTTGCTGTGGCACAAAAAAATCCAAAAATTGAAGCTTTCCTCACTTCAGTATACAGATTGGTGAATATTGTTGGAGGATCAGCTAAGCGAAGTGATCTTATTCGAGAGAAATAAAGACTCAGAATTCTTGAAGCACTCAGGGTCGTGAAATTTCAAACGGACGAGGTCTCGACTAAGAAATTACTCTTAAGCGTTCTGGTGATACTCATTGGGGCTCTCATTACAATTGTTTGATTAACTTCATTCTCATGGTTTCAGCCACTGTTGATGTTGTTGAGGCGATTGCTACTGATATTACAGGTTTCGGAACAAGAGGTTATGCAAATATTTTGTTGAAGACAATGTTAAAATTCGAATTTGCATTGAATCTACATCTCATGAAAAAGATTTTGAGAATTTTAAATAATTGTCGAAAGCATTACAAAGAAAAGATCAAGATATTATCAATGCCATAAAATTGGTGAAATTATGTAAAGTATGGATGCAAACCATGAGGGATGATGGGTGGGATTCGTTTTTTGGAATGGTTTGTTCATTCCGTGAAGCTCATGAGATCATTATTCTAAATACGGATGATATGTTCATAACTGTAGGTCGTTCACGACGTGCTACAGTGACAAATTTACATCATTATCATGTAGAAATGTTTTATGCTGCTTTTGACAAGAACAAATTGATTCGACTATGTGGGTATTATCGAGCTAATTTTGACACAACAGATATCTCGAAACTTGATGATCAATTAAATACATATATTCTTGACATACGCAATGATGAAGATTTTGAAGGATTACAAGACCTTAGTGGTCTAGCACAAAAATTGTGAGCGAAAAATAAGCATGAAGTTTATTTATTAGTTTTCAAACTTGTGACATTAGCCTTAATCTTTCCCGTCGCTACTGCTCTAGTGGAGAGCATTTTCTGCAATGACTTATGTCCAAAATTCTCTGCGTAATCGAATTTGAGATCAATGGCCGAATGATAGTTTGATTGCATATATTGAGAATGATGTATTTGACAGTATCGAAAATGATGTAATTATGGAACGTTATTAAAATATGAAAACTCATAAAGAACAATTGTAATAAAATATTCAATAGATAAATTTTTCTGTAACTTTTGTATAAGTTATATTGTGCCCCACTAACACTAAATATCTGCATCTGCCATTGACTACAAAGGAGGTGAATGTAGCAGTCATGCTTTTCAAAGGGCAATCTTCAAAAATCGATAACCATAATCTTTAACCAAACAAATATCTAAAAGCAAGATATAAATTCATGCACATATAGAACGGAATGACGTATACAGGTATACTTCACGAACCTTCTGGCATCTTCAGGGCTAAATTCCGTACCACAAGCTCTGCGCATTCGCCACCATACACCTTGCCTTCTCAATCACCTTCTATCTCATCATTTTCAACTTGAACTTCATGAGTACCATCCACAACAAGTGGATGCAAGTGAAAGCAAGATTATGACACTCGTAACATAAACATTGAAACGAAAGATATGAGAAGTGTAAATCAAGATTTTCACCAAATGCATACAACGAGTATCACCCATATTACTTCAAGTCACCTTTTACGAATTTACTAATGTAAGATAGAAATTAATGCGAACACACTGAGCTGAGGCAAGGACTGAACTAACGTTCCCAATATTTTATCTAACGACAAGTTCATCTGTCGAGAATTACTGAGCTTAACTGTCGAGAATAACAGTTCAGCAACAACTGTCGATAGATGAACTGTCGAAAAATCTATTTCCAACCTCACGATCAATGAATTTAATGGCTTCAAAGTTCGCCTAAGACGAGACGGGGAATCTAGCCTTAATTATGTCGACGCCAAGCTTGGCGAGCTGTCGGGCAATGTGTAGCTTCTCCTTGGTGGTCATGGTTGCGACGGGGGACTGCTCGCCGTCCCGAAGAGTTGTATAAAAAATTCGTATGAATTTTGGGTCCAGATGAGGTTCGGTATTTATAATAGGAGAATTTACAAAAATGTCACAAACATGAAAGTTCTAAAAAATTTGTCATTTTCACTTTATGTGAGCAAATATGTGACTTTTTGGGGTGAAAAATTCAAATTACCCTTAATGACACATTTTAGTAGCATTTAATACTTGATTTGAAGGAAAAGCATTGATTTGATGTGGTGATTTAATTTCTATATACAAAACATGGATAAATTTGTATTTTATTGATTAATATGAATTTTTGTTAATAAAAAAGGGTATGTCACAAACATGAAAGTTCTAAAAAATTTGTCATTTTCACTTTATGTGAGCAAATATGTGACTTTTTGGGGTGAAAAATTCAAATTACCCTTAATGACACATTTTAGTAGCATTTAATACTTGATTTGAAGGAAAAACATTGATTTGATGTGGTGATTTAATTTCTATATACAAAACATGGATAAATTTGTATTTTATTGATTAATATGAATTTTTGTTAATAAAAAAGGGTAAAAAAAAAATTAAAAATGAAACATAAACTACAAACCCTAACTTTTCTTCATCTTCTTCATTTTCATTGATCAAGAAGACATTTCTGTTGCATTTTTCATCCATTTTGAGAGGTTAGCAATTACAAATTATTTATATTTTACTCTTATATTCTTTTGTTTTATAAATGTTAAATACAACATGGGCATATTAATTTGAAATCTTTGAAACTATTATGCATTAATTTGTTTGGTTTTGGAGTCCTTCACAAAATGTCATTATCACCATTAAAGTTTTGAGTAATTTCTTTCATTCAAACCAAACACTATTTTCATTAAATGTCTCTTTAATGACAATGCCAATTTGGTCTTTTCATTTTGTCATTTGGTAACTCAATAGTAATGACCACACTTAATGTGCTGTGTTGAAGAAGCCCGAGTTCCACCCACTACTGTCCGCTTCCCAACATTTTCGACATTCAATTGTCAAATTTGACATTTACAAACCGTCGGGTTAAACGTTTGAAATGTCGAACTCGACATTTACAAACTGTCGGGATATACAATTTACTGTCAATTTGGACACTTCGAAACGATGTAAACCCTTCATTTGACCTTTTGCAATTGTACGAATTTATGTATTATACAGTGCCACTTTCATGCTATTAAATGCCAACATATTGATTCTGAATTTTTACAGTTGTAATCTCAACATTTCAGGTGTGAGTAATCATTTGAGATTTATCGTGTCGCATAGGGAAAAGTTTGTTTATGCGGATGACATATAGAAGTGGAGAGGAGACAAAACCACTTTTCATTTTGGTGCGGACAAGGATTACCGTAGCCGAACTTTTGTTAAGGTTGAAGGACAATCCCCGCACTCAAATTGAATTGAAGTTCAAAGTCCCCAACTTGAATATACCTCCGGCTGAAATATGCAACAGTTAAATTTTAAATTGATGGTAAAAGTACTTGCCAAATGTAATCCCAGAAATGTTTCCCCTATGTAGTGTACATTCCGAACTAATGTTATTAATTTGTTGTTATTATCATATGCCAACAAAAAACTAGTCGTTATGTTTCATAAGTAAAGTACTGAGCATTACGGTTATATTAGCACAAAAGATATGAATACATTATTTTCATTATAAACTTAACCGATCATTATGGTTCCATTAGCTTCGATTGACTGTTGGTCGAAATGGAAAATTGATTTCCATGACACGACAATTCACAAGCAAAATATCAACATTACGTCCCGACAATTCATATCGTTCTCGACAGATGGTCTTTGTAATTCTCGTCAATTGGGAACTATAATGGCTTTCAAAAATACACTACCGTGATTACCCATTATGGACATGTTGTTGCTACACGTACACAGAGGACGTGACTAAAATCATCCCTATCAAAAAATACTATATATACTTACTTACAAAATGGCCATTTATTACACACTTGCATTGCTATTGACATTTTAATTTTCTCCCCCACTTTCTCCATCATAAAATGCACCAATTTCTTTAAACAGTCCTGAAGTAACTGGGAATGCTACCCTCCATTAGACGTGCTGGTGATGTAACTAGCCAAAAAAAATTCAAAAGTAACTGGCCAAAAAAAAATCAAATTAAAATCAAAATTAACCCAATTCTTTTCTTTTCTTTTCTTTCCTTTTTTTTTTTTTTTAGCCAATTCACAAAAACCAAAACAATAAAAATTCAAAAGAAATCACCTTTCTACCGGAGACTGTCAAGAGTTGAACTTGTTTACCAAAAAAATCGATTACTTCGGCTGCAACCCAAGCCAAATTCTTATATTCTACCCACACAATTAATTGAGTACTTGAATGATAGATTACACTTGTATTTTTTGTGGTCTTTGTCGGCGGTGGACATTTTCACGCTAGTTGTCGACAACAACTACAGTGGGGTGGGCAAATAGAATGAGTGATTTAGGTTTTTTTTTTTTTT